TGCGGAGAGGTGAATATGCTGGCCGACTGGTAAGCCAAGGATATGTTCATCGGTAGGCAGTTTGAAGCGAAACTTTCGTGTATCGTGACTGACAATCTGCTTGCTTAGCAACGGAAGTGGATATTTCGTATCTGGATCGACCAAAGTTACCATTTTCTACAATGCACAATAAAAAAGCTACTTTTGGCAAGATATGACTGAAAAGAAACAGAAGGCATTATCAAGAGTATAAGGTTTTCTGAGCAGTTCAGAACTGAGTGAAAGAACAGTTTGCAAGTACGATACAAGTATAAACAGCGCGCAACGATTTCAGATGCAGCCCCCAGGAGAACGTGGTTCCTGCATATGGGTCCGTGAAAATTTTTGGCGGGTAAGTTGCTAATGCGGAAACCAGAGGAACTAGAGGAATGGAATTTTGAGAGAATTTCCCAGTCCATGTAGAACCTAGCGACTTCAAGCTCTGCCTTCAGTTGCGCATGGTTCTCACATGTGGGCCCGTGAAAATTTTAGGCGAGTAAGTTGCTATCTCCGGAACCAGAAAAGCTAGAAAGTTGAAATTTTAAGAGGGTATTTCCCGACAGTTCTGGTGACCAGTCTCAATTCTTTTAGTCAGAAGCATCTGCAGGAAAAAACAGTGCCGTTAACGACAAAAACTTGTAGGGAACAGTGCAAATAAATAGCAACGCGCACCAGACTAGCCGGTACGATCATGCGTTTTGTGCAATTCAGCCCGTCGAACCATTGCCTATTAATGATTTTCACTGCTTTTTACTTTTGTTTATGCAAAAATAGTTCAAAAATTGCAAAACAGTAAAAAATTTCACGCACCAGAGCATGAAAGTTGAATTCGAAACCATGAAGGGTGAATATCTTTCCGTGATTCCCGAGTTAATAGTTTAACCGCCAAAATTCTCACGAGGCCGTAGGTGATACTCAACAGCGTGGGAACGCTGAATTTGAATAAGCAAGGTTAAGCGTGAGCAGGGGGCTATTACCCTAAAATTTCAGTTTCCTAGACCCCGCGGTTCCCGACATAATAATTTACCCGTAAAAACTTTCACTAGCCTGTAGGTGATAGCCGAGAGCGCGGGAACGCTGAATTTGAATGGCAAGGTTGAGCGTGAGCAGGGGGTCATTACCCTAAAATTTCAGACTCCTAGACTTCGTGGTTTCTGAGATATTAACTTACCCGTAAAAAACTTTCACGGGGCCGTACGCGTTACCCGCGGGTG